ACACTTTTAAATTAGTACAGTTTTCTTGTCAGTGGAGCGATAAAAAAAACATAGCCAACTGACAGTTGGAAAAGAGTAATGAACCCAAAAAAGTGAAAAAAAAACTGACTTGTTTTTTCAAAAACCTGAAATTTTGAACTTCGAAAAAAATATACGGCCCTTTGAGCTTGCAGAACAATTTATGATGGACACTTTGTTAAAATTGGCCGAATTTGAGAAAACTGGATCAATAAATAGAATTTTTTTTTGCTGGGAAATCTGATAATTAATTTCCATTTTTCGAAATTAGAAGTCGATCACGTTTTTCGTGACCTTAACAATTTTGCTGTTTGATAGTGGAATTTGCCTTTTAGAAATGCACTGAACATAAAAATTACAAATGAAACCGCAAAAATCAAAAATGAGCGTGAACAAATTTTAAGACTTTTTCCTGAAAAAAAAACTAACAAAAATCAGCAAGACCTATATAAGAGTACTCACTACGTTCATTACTCTTTAAAAAATCAGCAAGACCAATAAAAGAGTACTCACTACGTTCATTACTCTGAACGAAAAAAATTATGTGTATTTGAAACAAAAAAAAATCGTTAAAAATAAGATTTTTTGAAAAAAAAAAATATTTTTTTTTTTGCAGAAAATTTTTGAATTTTTGATTACCAAAACTAAAATTTCAAAAACTGACTTAACTCGACGAACCATTATTTTCACGGCTTGATTTGAGCTTAAATCAGCAACTGATCCATTCCAATGATTAATATTTGTACCTGATTTTGCGTGGAAAAAAAGAAAAATAAAACACGAATACAAAGTTCCTCGACATAGATGGTCGGAACAAAAATACGCTATTATATATGAAACTTTACCCTAGGCTTCCAGTTAGAAATTAAAACTTTTGTATGTGCTCTCCTCAATTAAAAGTCATTGAAATTTCAATTTTGCTTTGAAAGGCGAAGCACTAGCAATAAAATGCAACATAGCATGACAAGCAAGTTCAAATTGTAGATGACTACATTTCTCGAAATTTTCATACGTTTGTCTCGACTATAATTCAACTTCATGTCAAAAACAACGGCCAAACTAGCTTTCGTACAAAAATTGCCAAGCGATTACTAAACCGACAATACTTTGGTAGAGGTCTGTAGAGCTAACAGAAAACTTGTTATCATTTAAAACATTGAACTATCAAGTTTCGAAATGTGACTGGTTTTTAAGTCCCCACCCCCGTTTCCTACACTCGCAGAAAAGATAATTTTAACTATTCAAAAGACGCGATATGAGGTGAGCAGGCCAATGTAACAGAAGCCGAAACCAACTGATGATATAGAAGAAAAAGGCACACTGTGGCAAATAAGCAGTCAAACGATAGTTGAACAATAAAACTATCAACATAGATGCGAAACTGAGCTTCGCACCCCTTGCAAAACAAAGCCGCCAAATAGTGAAAAAACTGAAAAAAAAACGCCAAGAAACAACACACAAAATTTTTATATGTTTTTCTCAAAATAAAAACTCATTTTGATGAAAACCTGTGGCGGACAAAACAAATATCATTGAACTTGCATAACAAGTTACCGCGCGGCAGATATGCACACAAAACCGTGATTTTTAAAAGCAATTAATGTTGAAATGTTTGATTTTTTTGTCAAAAATACGTTGTGCCATTAATTTGAACCGATTGGCAGGCAAAAATTCTCAGACATCACGAAGAATTAGAGCAAAAGTTTGCTCGGAACTAAGTCCAAACAAACTAAAAACAAAAACTATCCAAAAAAAATGCTGGCGTCCATTTCATTTTTTTTTCGCTATCATCAAGTTTTGGTAGATATAAAAACGAAACACCTGAAACAAATTACCCTTCCTTAGTTGAATTGCAAAAAAACAACACTATACAGAAGGAGAGAAAAACATTAAGTGTACTAGGAACAAATAGCGCAAACAAACCAAACTTGCTATTTTGAAAACTAAAAGTTCTGAAAAATACGAGCAAAATATGAATAAAAACAAAATTAAAGGTAGTTTGTGATCTGATATCCTTTAAGGCTTCCTAAGCCAGAGTCTCTTGCTTAGCGAACTTATCGTTCTACAAAAATATAGAGACTAGAAAGCACTTACAGCAAAATTAAAATCAATTGACGAAAAAATTGATTGAAAATTACACTAAGAAAATTGCGAATAAACTCACGTCTTCAATTACCTTCGCGGAAAAGAATATGATAAGAACAGCAGGCTCATCAAAAAGTATTGAGGAAAATAGCCGAACAAAATTTTACTGAAAAAAAAATCGACAAAAATTTCGTTTTTCTAACGAATTTTTTTAAACGTTTTTCAGAGAAGGTCGGAAAAGTGCATTCCAACTTCCAAACATACCTTATCACGTTAAATTAAATTTAAAAAAAACGAAAAAAAAACTATATAAATTTTACGAGAATTAGGCAAATAACCCGTCAAAACTAAAGCAGACACTTCATAAGCTGAAAAACAGCCAAATTTTTTTCAGTAAAAAATTTGCATCTAAACGCTACAATGCAAGCCCTATACAGACAAAACAAGTACGCTGCATAAGCTGCGCATTTGTAAATTTACCATTTCAAGCTTCTTTCTAAATTATTACCTGTGATCCAAATTATTTGCGGGAAAAATTTTCTAATTTTTGTCGACTTTTTTTTAAGTCCACCCAATTTTGACTAAATTTTCTGCACCGCAGAAAAATTTCCAAAAACATGTCAAAAATGGTGCTTTCGGACTTTTTTTTGGTAAATTTGACCAGAAGTGAGAGCTTCTTCCGCGCCTGCTCCCCTTCAAAAATAGTATATATTGGCGCCATATGAGCCATTAAATTTTTTAATGTTGGTTGGCGAGGAGGTCGAATCCCTGCGGGGGGCGTCCGCCTCCTGTCCCCTAAATTTACCCCTACCCCCAGATCTTTAGTTCCGAGCATGTGCGTTTCCTCTGCACCAAACAAGCAAAATAAGTAGATTGCTCGTAGATGTGCCGATACACTTGACTGATACACATTGATATGCTAATAAAACCAACTGATAAATATAGTAAGAGGTTGTTTTGCAAGGGTCAAAAAGCTCCCTATAATTGCAAGGGTAAAAAAACTAATATGTTAATGTATGATGATGTTATGATATATTCATTTATAGAAAAAAAAATCGGCTCATCTTTTGACAAAATTACATTGTAAGAAACTGAAATCGCGATTATTTATTACTCCACGTAATGTATCGTAGACTAATGTGAAATATAAAGCAGTCAACTGTATAACAGCGTTGATAATTGGAAGATGACAAGTTGAAGAAAAAACGCGGCAAAAACCCAGACTGAATTGCCAGACAAATCACTGAACAAATTTGGCGGTAAACGAGAACAAAGAAAATCCGCGGTTCTTTTGATGGGAATATTAGGCAAGAGGCATGTCAAATTTACCTGATTTCATGATACAGCTGATATTTATGGATTTTTTTGTCAAAAATATCATGATATATATCATGATATTTATCATGATATTTATCACTTGATATATATCACCCATCCCTGATCGTAGTGTATAGTAAATTCTAAATTTTCAAAATTCAAACCCATTGATAATTTTTTACGCCCACTTACCCTGAGTCGTGATAGCCGAGAACTACCAACTCCAAAGGCACTGGCCTATAGCTCTTGTCGAAACTCAGTGACTTCGCAGGAAAATCTGAGGTTCCCAGCCATAAGGCCACATCCTCGATATTCGGACAGGTGGCTGAAACAGCTACAAACCTCGTTCCAAATTGCGACTGAGCATTCGACATTAATGCCGCTTTGGTTCTCGCAATGAGCACTTCTAATGTCGGGCCTCGGTTGCTATCACTTAACATGTGTATTTCATCGATAAGGTACAATTGTATATGTGTGAAAAATGAGGACTGAAAACAACGAGTGACGTTTTCCCATTTCTCAGGCGTAGTAACAATAATTTGCGCTTTCAACGATTTCAGAATATCTTGGTCGTCCGTGTCGCCAGTTACTTGTGCACACATCATTCCAAGACTCACAAACTTCGTTGACCAGTCTTCAAACCTTTCGTTGCAAAGGGACTTCATTGGAGCTATGTAAACTACAGAACATGGCTGCAGTGATTGAGAATTTTGTCTTGATTTCAGAATTAGTCTGACAATTGCCAGTTCCATTAGAGCAGTTTTTCCACAACCAGTAGGTGCGCACACAGCTAAGGACTTGTCAGTATTCATCAGAAACTCAAAGGCCTCCGATTGGACTCGATTGAAATTCTTGATTCTGGGGAAAATTTTATTTGCTATATCAGAGGGTAGCCTCTTGGCAGGAGTCAAACTTACCAAGGGTCGTTTTGATTCAACTATTCGGGAAAACATTGCTGTACTTTAAATTCGAGCACTAAAATTCATGATCTACTGGTTCGGGCATTTGCTTAATTTTTCCCCAAAATATGACAAAACTTATTCAAGTATGCAACACTTAATTAAACAAACAGCATATTTTTGGCAAAAATGTATCAGGATGTTCTCACCCAATCGTTTCCCAAAAATCCTTAGCGCCGGAAAAATAGTGTACTCCCTGATGAAAATTTTTTGAACGACGAGGAGACAAACAGATGAAAGCAAACAACCGAAATCTCTCTCTCTCTCTCTCTCTCTCTCTCTCTCTCTCTATCTCTCTCTATCTATCTATCTATCTATCTATCTATCTATCTTCCTCTCATAAATGACCCATCTTTACAATTTAATCAGAAGTTCCAGTTCAAACAAATGAAAGGCATTGAAGAACTAACCAAAATGAAACACAAAAGGTACATATCAATTTCAATAATGTTGGGAACAATCTATGCTGATTGGAGATACACCGACTACTCTCATCAAAATCCAAAATACGAATGAATCTGAACAAGCTACTGGTGAAAAAAAAAACACAAAAATTCAGTCCATATAAATTCATCTCTCTAGATTACATTATGTAATTCAAAAAGTAATAACAGCAATTAATCAAAAACTTTCACAGCTTTGCAAGCAACCATTCACGACAGCTAAAAGGTTTGAGTTTTCAAGTGCCGCAGCCACTCTTTCTTTGTCACCCAGCTGCTTATTTATAGCGTACTCCTGATCGTGCGTTCCTGGCGTGATCTTCACCGTCACTTTGAACCTAGAAGGCAGAGCTCTGAACAGCCTTACCCGAATAGCCAGTCCAATCAAAGTAGCTTGGGTGCAATGAGGGATGGTCGGCGTGAAAAGAACATCGACCGTGCTTCTGTCATCGTCTACAGATACATTGTCTTCACATACCACATTAAGTTCCTCTAAGCTCAATGGGTGTTCCGGGTCAGTTATCGACCGGATTAAATCAAAAATTTCCCGGCCATCAAACGCATCATAGACGTCGTCATCATAAGCCGCAGGACTCAATACTCGCTCAGAGGATTTCGCAAAAGTCGTTGGATTGTCGTTATCCATTGTATTACACGTACTCTACTGACTATTTCCAGATCCAAAGTATTCGCCAACTGAAACACACTTATTTTTAACTCTTTGACTTGCCTGATCCATGTTCAAACATTTTTGTTGCCTAAAAAAACCGTTAAAAAGCCAACAATTTAGCATATTTACTTGCGTGATATAAATCAAGCAAAGCAAATCGTTCTCAAAAAAGCGATACCTTTCAGCTATGCTGAAGCTCATGATACCCAGTTATATAAGAAAGAAAGAAAGAAAGAATTTATTTTTCCGATTGATAAATATAGTCATTAGCAAAACAAAAGTAATTTCATCAATGCATTTATCATCGGAATGGACAACTAACGAGACCATTGGTCCACATAAATGTTGCCCTTATATAGCACACATACTGAATTTAACATCAAACAAAAGAAAGAAAATAAGTTTTTTTTTTTTTATGAAGAAATTAACAAAAAAAAACAAAAAAATACGTGATTTTGATTTTTACCTAATTGAAAACATATTGTTCTTCATAGCGCTACCTATAGCAGTTCAGCTGATGCTCCGGCATGGGAACACGTCGCTTCAAAAAAAAAATTGAAGAAAATTTCCTAAGTTTTCGGGAAAATAATTATTGAGAAAAAATTCAAAAAATCATAAAAAGGGCCATATCTCCTAAACTAAAAGGTTCTGGAGGGTCATATTTTTTCACATAAATCGCAACTTATAGTTGATTGTCCTGTAGCATTTAACCAAGGTACTGAAATTACACAAAAATTAAAAACTGAAAACTAAAGTTGCCAGCTCGTTGTTACCTAGCAGGTATCCATTCTTAAATTTATGATAAAAACTTGTAATTTTTCCAATTTTTGCATTTTCTATCCCATCTTCGAGTAAGCCTCTAGTTTTCAATACGTTGTAAAGCCTAGACCCCCGATAGGCAATTGATTGCCGTTCAAATCGTTTTTTTTCTAAATGATTCTTTAAGGAGGTTTAAATTAGCCCTACGCGTTACTTTAGTGGGATTTTCGAATTCAAACACATTATTCAAAAAATCCTCACTGTGTAGTTTGTTTACTGATCGGAGTACATATTTTAGTAATTCATACACATGAAGCTCGTGCACGGTTAGCAGTTGATTTCTAATAAAAATGTCATCCGATTGTTCGCGACGATTTCGGAAGTAAATCAATTTTAAGATCTTTCTTTGAAGTATGTAAATCGGCATTAAAGAAGAGTAGCTGCAACAACCGTAAACAAGAATACCGTATTGGATAGTTGATTTAATGTTAGTTCGATAGTAGTCTAAAAGCTGATGACGTGGAGCAAAATACCGTAATTTTGAAATAATGCCTGACTGTTTCGCTAATCGCATTCTTACATAATCAATTTGCGAAAAGAAGGATAATTTTGAGTCTACATATATCCCTAGGTATTTACAAACAGGTTCAGTTTTAATAGCACAGCTGTTTAATTGAAAGGTCATTGAATTGGAAGTCTTAATATTCATTTGTACTGTTTTATCCATATTAATAACTAATTTATTGGCATTTAGCCAGTAGTTCAAATAAGAGATGTCATTTTCAATTGCAACATTTACTTGTCCTAAAGCAGTGACATTGGTGTCGTCTGCAAAGAGGACAACTTCAGATGATTTGCAAACATGAGGAAGGTCATTTATATATATAAGAAAGAGTAAGGGACCCAAAATTGATCCTTGAGGAACACCGCATTTTATAGAAGACCAGTTTGAAGAAACGCCATTTATTTCTACACGTTGTTTTCTGTTCTTTAAATACGATTCAAACCAATCATAAGTAATTCCTCTGATTCCATAGGACTCTAACTTCTGTAATAAAAGAGAATGTTCAATTGTATCAAATGCTTTTTTCAAATCAAAAAAGAAAGTAACAACATTTTGATTACCACATGACCGCATTTTTTCAGTAAAATCAACGAGTGCGTCTATTGTACTATGCTTTGACCGAAACCCAAATTGTCTACTATAAATAAGTGAGAATTTTTCAAGACAATTGTAAATACGAGTGTACATGGCTCTTTCAAATATTTTACTCCAGACAATTAATAGCGATATTGGTCGGTAATTATTCTCATCAACTCTGGAACCACTTTTATGCATGGGTATGACTTTTGCTCTTTTTAATTTATCAGGAAAAATGCCTTGGCTGAAGGATTTATTTATTAACAGGGTTAAATACGGAACGGTAGCCGATACCGACAATTTAACTAAAATGTTATTAATATTGTCATCACCCGACGACGATTTATTATCAAGTTTGTTAATTATTTGTTCTACTTCAAGTTCAGTAACCTGATAAAGAAACATTGAGTGTCCCACTTGTTTAAGAGGTGGTAATGGTAGACAGTCCATGTCTTTTTTAAGTTGAGTGCCAATTTCGGAGAAAAAAAACATTAAATCGTTCAGCAACATCAAAAGTTGATGGAGTTACAGAGTGCTGCTGACATGACTCTAGTATTGGTACGTTTGCATCATATATATTTTTACCACTTAAATCATTGAGTAATTTATATGTTTGTCTTGAGTCCCCAATACATGCAGAGAATTTGTTACGGTAAAACTTCCGTTTTGCCCCTTTAATTTCTTTTTCTAGCTTAAATCTTAAGTTCTTAAAATTTTCCAATAAATTGGAATTATTTGGTTGACATTTCCATGAACGATGTGCTCTGTTTCTTTTGGTTCTTAAATTTTTCAACTTGTTGTTGAACCATTTCGGTTTTTTTAAATCAGTAATTGTGTTTTCCCGCATGGGTGCAAAATTTGTGGTAACTTTATTAAAAACCGCAGAAAAAATGTTAAATGCTGCTGATGGATCTGCAATATTGCAGATTTCTAACTCTTTTTCATTCAGTTCAATTGGCAATGAGTTTATGTACTTATTGGATTTATCTTTATCTTTGACAGCATTTATATGTCTGCATTAACATTTAAGCTTCGCGTAGACATCAAATACAGTGCCAAGATACACGAGAGAACAAATTTACCCGCAAAATCAAGTTTTTACATTCGAAAAATCCTAACTTTAAGTATAAATTTGGACAACATTTACTTATAATTTGACCATAAATTCTGATCACCCGGTGGCAGATGTTCTGAACTACCCTCTCTTAAGTCGCAATTTTTAATTTGAAGCATTTATTTGATTATTCTAGGTCTAAAAATGCCAGTTTTCACCATTTGCAGGCGTTCTTCTACGAGAGTGAACTCTTTTTCGAAAAAGCTGAGTAAAAAAGCGTAGACTAAACGTGAAACAATTCAAACGAGAAAATTGCATTGCTTTGTTAAAAACGTTCCTCAACTCTGTGGTTTCTCATATTTCCACACCAGTGAAACATTCCACTTCTAATTAGAACACTCATGTGCATGTAGCAGGATTGCCATCCTTTTTTCTAACCCGGAGTAAAAGGGAGAACTTTGAGGGAATATTTTTTATTTGACGGAATTTGAAAAAATTTGGAGAACTGCGTGAAAAATTTCAGAAAAGCTCCTTGACCGCGTTTCATTACTCTTTCTCATTGATTCGCACTCTCAAACAGTTAAGTCAATCCTTTCGGTTTCACAGAAGTGCTTGTGCAAGCTTTCGACTTAAGTCTCGGCCTGTGACCTCGATTTGTCTCAGGTGTGCACTATCAACTCAGTGCTCTACCTATTAAAGACCAGCAAAAAAATCGCTCAGCAAATTTGAACAAATAATTAGTTTTTTTTGCAAGAATGATAACAGCATTGTACACATTTTTATTGGCGCTTTATTTCAGACGGTTGATTCAGAGAGAAAAAAAAACATTTTTGAGAAAAAAAAACAAATTAAATATCCTAAAATTTGTTAAAAAAAAGATGGCGATAGAGAAAACGATTACTTGAGTGCTTATATAGCCCTTCGTGAAGCTAAGAAAGCTACCAATATATCAGTCCGGGTAAGTTCAACGTAAAACTAATTTTGAAATGCCCTTAATTTACATGATTCGTAAAATTGAAAAAAAAAAAACATCAAATACTTCAGCACTCTCGCGTACATTGCCCTACAAAGTAGCAAAACTTCATGCCAAAACAAATTAAATTTTAGAAACATGGCGGTACGCTGAGCCAGATAAGAAAAACCGTTTAAAAATGGGGAGAAAATGGCTGAAAAACATTAAATATCCTAAAATTTGGAGCTATCTCAGTCCGAGCAAGTCAAAAATATACAGAAAAACAGTCTTTTTATGAGGTTGAAAAACGCCTTTTTCTGAGAATTTAAAATGTTTCGACTAAAACTGGGTCTAAGTCGTTTATGCAGGGAAAGTCTCAACAACCTGATATTGGATTGAAACCTAATTTCCAGATTTGAAAGGGTAGTTCTTGAGACACGAACGTCAAGAAATAGGATTTTTTGAGACCATAATTTTTTTCTACGTATATGGCGTAGAAGTTGAAACAAAGGAGCTCCCCGTATTCTGTTTTTTCGATTGAACTCAAAATCTTAACATTCGTCAGGGTAATTTTCGAAGAATGAAAAAAATCGTCAGAAAATGGTTCACACAATCCTCCACGGAATCTTTCGAAGCTGCAGAACGTGAGGTGAGGCGATAAAAGATTAAAGGAATATGCAGGCAGGATGATGAGCGGTCTTTTCATTGGAATCTATTTTTCCAAAATCGGTCAACTAATTTTTGAGAAAAATAATAATTTTCCAAGCTTCAAAAAAACCATAACCCATTACGCTTCCATAAAAAAAATTTCAAAAACAACAACGAGCAACATAATCTCCAGTCTTAAATAAGCAATAGATTGGTGAGCTATACAATTTGAAGTCTCGAACTTTTCTTTTTACGCCCCAACCACCAGGCGCAAGTGTTTAACACAGAGGGGAAGCAGAGCTTCCCATCACCTGCGATACAACACAAAGCGCAAAATGGCAAGCTAGCGAACAGAAAATGCGAATTTTTTTTTTAAAAATTGGGAATTTCAGAAAAACAATTCAAAACCACAACATTCGAAA